TAGGTTTTTTTAAACAAGCTATTATTATATAAATAAACATTTCTTTTTAACCTCTGCCTACTGAGGAATATTTATACTGTTGTGAATTTTGAGATACAAGTAACACCATAGTGAACTTCCCTGTTCCTACATAATTGCAGGCTGAGTTTGGCAAGTCTTTCCTGGAGATTTTGATCGGGAAAGGGTGAAAAAAATCATAGAAGAGACTCCGCTGAAGGGGGCACAAGGTGATGCCAAAGGCACGGTTTACTTATATCAAAACTTTGAGTTCTCACCAAAAGGATTCTATTCATATTATTATGAAGTATGCTAACAATAAACACTTTACATTAGATAATTTTAACCTGTTTCTGGTGCTGAACTTGCCTTTCAGCCATTAAAAAAAAGACCCTAGAAAATTGTACAAAATATGTCAAACAACTACTTTCAGACAGTGCATAGCAGGCAGTACGAGATGGATCCCAGAGGGAAGGGAAACAAACCTGGCAAGCCCTATGCTTGCCCCAGCCTCTGCCTTAAGGCCGGTTTCAGGAGGCACAATGGGGGAAAACTCAAACAAAGCACAGCAGTCTTGCTCAGTCGAAGACGTGAGATTGTTAGGGTAGAGGGAGGTTTAAGTGGTGGGAATTTATGAATCAAATCACCAGGGACTGCTGATACACAGGATGGTCTCCAGAAGTTTATGTAGGTATTCTCTTGGCTTTTGGGCTGAATGCATACTAAGTTGTGCCTGCTTATGGTGAAACTTAAGATTAACTGTGCAAAGAACAACTAGTGGGGAGCCGAGTAATTCCTGGAGCTCACACAGGGCTGAGAGGTGTTTGAACTCTGGCCAGAGTGGAGAGATCTCACTGAATATCCAGAGCATTCAGTAGAGACCTTGGAATATCACGCCCCAGTAGTAGGGCAAAAGAGAATGATGTGAGCTAGGTCCAGCCTAAAAAGCCTAAAAACAAGGCTTGAGCCACAGCTAAATGAACTGCCTCCTCCAAAACAGACAGACCTGTCCAACATTTAATGTACTCTAAAGAAAGACAACAAAATCTACTCCACAAATGAATGTCCAACTCAATTACAAATTGCTAGATATGTGAATTAGGAAAATGTAACCCATAACCAGAACAAAAATCAGTTAAGTAGATCCAAAAGTGGCAGAAATAATGGAATTAACAGATGTGTTATCCAAAACAACAATTCTAAATATTTTTAAGGATCTGAAGAATGAACATAATGAGGAAAGAAATGGTAAATATAAAAAAGAGCCAAATGAAATTTCTAGAGCTTTAAAAATACATTGTATATTCTCTACAGTAGATAGAAACTACAAAAGATCCCAGACAAGGAGAAAACATTTATAATACCTGTCAAAGGACATTTTAATCAAATGAAGGTATATACAAGATCTTAAAATGAAGAATAAGAAAAAAATGACCCATTTTTAAAATGGGCTAAATATTTTAACACTTCACAAAAGATACATAACAGGCACAAGAAAAAATGCTCATCAGAGAAATGCAAATGAAAACCACAACGCGATACAGTAACTGACTAGAATGGCAAAAAAATTTTAAAATGAAAACATCAAGGTTTTGGTACAGCAGGCACACTCATACCTTTCTGTATGGAGTGTGAAATGGTATAATCACATTCGAAAATTTTAAGGCCAAGTATATACTTAGGACCTAGAAATTCTACCTCAAGGCATTTACTGAAATTAGACTTGTACATGAATGTTCATAGTGCTTTATTTGTAAGAGTCCCAAACTGCAAACAACTTACTTATCCATCAATAGGGTCATGAATAAATGTGATTTACAAGGAAATACGACTAGCAGTAAAAAGGAAAGAATGACTGATACAAATCTACAACATGGATGAATCATAAAAAATTGCTGAACAAAAGCCAGACACAAAATAACATCTACTGTGCAGTCTCATTTATATGGAATTTAGGAACAGGTCAAACTACTCACTAGTAACGGAAAACAGATCACCTGTTGGACTGGGTACAGGGGTAGGGGGTCGACAGGAACAGGGACTTTTTAGCGTGGTAGATACGCTCTCCATCTTCATTGTGGTAGGTGGTTTTACAGATGTGCATATTTTCCAAAATTAGTGTCAAAATTTAAAATGAGTGTTTCACTATATGTAAAGTGTATCTCTATAAAACTGATTTTTAAGGTCTATGCACCTGCTCAATACTAAAAATAGTTCTGTGTTTCAGAAGTGGAATAATTTCAAACATTGTGAATTTTCTTACTGGGAAGCTGAGTAATTGATGGAGAGGTAGGGCCAGCAAAAGATACTGCTTTCATTTTAAAAGACCCACATTTAGAGATTTTCCTGTGTATAGAGAAGTGCTCATTAAAGGTACTATAAGCAATGAGATTCTTTGGTTTGTGTACTTTATATGAAACATTGATGTCTGTGAGATACATAGATTATTCCTTTACCATAAATGGGTATTATTATGTATAGGCTTAACCTACTCATTCAGATAAGTACGGTTAACATGTCCCATACTGGAACCTGTTTCTTCTATTAAATATCAGTAACAGTACTTGACAGGTTGTTTTAAGGGTCAGATGAGTTTTTATTTCTTATTAAATAAACCAGAAAGGCACATACACATACTGGTTTGCATTATTGTTCCACTGCTTGTATCAAGGATGAGGTGTAGCTAGCCTGGGCTACACTCTTCCAAAGGCTTCTTTCTGGTGATATGTTGTGGGTTTCTCTTAGCAGATTTCTTTCTGTGCTTGTTAATTTTACTATACCAGAGGTAAAACTTCATGGCTATATTTAGCTAATTTGGAAGAAACTTAGGTCATAAATACCACCAAAGTGACTGTATTTTATAAGAATTTCTACATACTAATATTAATCACCAGCAAATATTTTGAGTTCCAGCTTTGGTTTATATCTGGTTTAAGTTGTTAGTATGTTGCCTTATGAGCCTATACAATTTCTTCTTTTGCTTTTACTGATGTCCCTAACTTTATGATGGAGAAACTGGGAATTTAAACACAATAGATGTTCACACTGTGGCTTCTCCCAAGGCAATACTTCAGAATTTAATGACACATGGCTTTTCCAAATACACTTTTTTGTTCATTTATGAACTGAGATAAACTCATTTGTCTACTTGAGCAGTCTTATGCTTCACTGCACACAAATCCATTTGTATAGGTAGGAACTAGCCTCACTCTTGACTCTAGAACTTGGAACTAATAACACTAACAAAAGAGAGTGATCCTCTGGCCAAGTAGCTCAGCTGGTTAGAACATCATCCTGATATGCCAAGGCTGCAGGCTTGATCCCTGGTCAGGACACATACAAGCAACGGATACATCAAAAAGTGGAACAACAAATCGATTTCTTTCTCTTTCCTTTTCCTTTCCTCTCTGTAAAATTAATCAATAAATAGTCATCTTATAGTATCTCATATTCTTTCAAGAAACCTATGTCCTTTCACTACAAATAGAGAACTTTAACATTTAAGTGTATCTAAATAAAAATAACTTGATTCATTTTTGACAAGTGTTTCTACAAAGACATTCCAACATTATATAATCTCTGATGTAAAGTGAAATTAAAGTTTTATATGCTTGTATAAATTTATTTTTTCTAAATGGTAATGGGAGGGGAGAAATAAATAGCTCTCAGAGGACTTTCAGGGTGGTGAAAATACTTCGTATGATACTATAGTAATGGATATGTGTCATACATTTGCCCAAATCCATAGAATGTACCAATCCAAGAGTGGACACTAAGGTAGACTTTGGACTTGGGATGATTAGTGTAGGTCCCCCAAGTGTAACAAACATATCACTGTGGTGGGGATACCAGTCACACCCGCAGGCTGTGCATCGTGCGGGCAGGAGGCACATGGGGAATCTTTGCACCTTCCTCTCAACTGTGCTATGAACCTAAAGCATTTCTAAAAAATGAAGTATTAGAAAAGTAATGAGTGACATTTTAAAAAATTGCAGCCATTTCTTTTTAAACCCAATAGGAATATTTTTATTCATACATGATTTTTAAGTAATAACCAGTCAAAGGAACAGTGAAAATAAATTCCTGACAGATCACTTTGGACAGAGTAATATAATTCAACTCTTTTGGATAACACAAACTATAAGATAAAAACTCCTTAAATGCAGTCTTAAAGAGTGTTGCTATAATTTTTTAAAGCTTATGCTGAATAGATATGAGCAAATGTCTCATCAAAGAAACCTTTTTCAAAGAAACATGTTCTATTCTAAACATGCTTGTCATTGAGTAAAAATTTACATTTATGCTATTTACCAGTTACTACACAGGACATACAGGAGTCTTTTCATTTAGAAGGTTACTATCATTTATTTTACAACTGATGGTTTTATAATAGGTCCTTCCAGTTCTTGGTGGTCATTATTGAAGTATAATGCATTAAAGATATGGCCTGTACAAAGGCAGAACAGGGATCCTAATTAGAATTCTGACAAGCTCACTCCAATAAAATGATGAGATTATTTGTAATTGATGTCACAATCAATTACCATTTAGTTTATCAGGAGCAGTCTAATCGGTCTGGCCTTGGTACTGGCCCCAGGATGTTGCTGAATGAGTGGCGACCCTGCTTATGCTGTTACTGAGACAGGAGGGCACATTTTCAGTCAGCATCCTAATGACCTCTTTTTGAAGTCTGTTAAATTAATGACCCTGCCATACTGTTTTGATCTCTTATAACCCCAGTTTGGGGTTTGTATAACAAACTAATGTTTGGGAATCATGTGGCAAAAGTAGATAAATAAATAAAATAGGTCTTTAAAAAAGTTGAAACGTTAATATTACCAATATTTAATAAAACATTTTATCATGTGAAAATGAAACCATAGGGTTTGCATGTAATACAAGAGAACTTTAGCACGTTTCTCCCTACCTGCACAAAACATACTTTATAGTAGTACCTAAATTTGTTTTTTCATTATTAAAGGGGCTGTTTTCTTTGATTACAGGTGCCAGTGGGTCACGTTTGGTTAGAAGGTGATAATCTACAGAATTCTACAGATTCCAGGTACTATGGACCTATTCCATATGGACTAATAAGAGGACGTATATTCTTTAAGGTACTGTTTTCGGCTTAAAGTGTAGGCTTTCTTTTCTGAGCTGGGGGAGAAACGTTCCCTTCAAAGTGAACTTTGAAGTCTTTAGGCTGTCAGTGGATTTAACTGTGGTAGTAACAGTTATGAAAATGTTGGCTTGTAAGCTATAAACATTACCCATTGAGAATTCCTCTCATTGAGACAGGTAATTGATTTTTTTTTTTTTTTTTTGCTTGCATAATAAAGTTCTAACTACCTTAGTTGCACTGTAGCATAAGAAGCTTTTAATTTGAATGTCCAAAAATTTTTGTCTCATACATTCTTTACAACCACGTTCATATCCTGAGACTGTATTAATATGCACTTGGACAAGAGCAGTCTAGAGGCAGACTGTCTTAATGCAGGGATACCTCAGTTAAGTACAGTGAGGAATGGACACATCATGGTTGTCGTAAGTATAAGTTTCTTAGGAAAGATTATTGTTTCCACTGGCTTCTCCTCTTCATCACAATCAGTAAGGAGAAAAACACATGAACATTTAGGAGTAATTTATAGGATTCTTTACACTTGAGCATATATTCCAGTACTTACATTTACAGTTAACTTTGAGGGTAGTAAAAGAAAAGGCAGATACATACATTCACACATATATACAGTTGACCGTTAAGTAATACGGTGGTTAGGGGCACTGACCCTCATGTAGTTGCAGGTCTCCTATAGCTTTTGACTCCCCCACAGACAGGTCTATGTTATCTAGTATTTGTTCCAGGAAGCCTGCAGATAACAAATCTGTGGATGCTCAAGCCCCTTATGCATTATAAAATCTGAGAACAATGCACGTAGTTAGCCCTCCGCCTCCTCCACGGATTCCCAATCATGGATCAAAAGTACTGATTTTAATCCACTGTTAGAAACCTGGGCACACAGAAGGCCAACTGGACATTAATTGAAAAAAATCTGTGTATAAATGGACCCACACAATTCAAACCCGTATTAGAGTTTAAATACATACATGTATAAATTTTACTTTCTAAAGTCTTATTTTGATGTAGAAAATTTGTTCTTGAATGAAGAATAAAGAGGAAGTGTTTCGTTCTCTGGCATAGAGTAAAAGCATGAATGAAAAAAAAGCAAGATGATGATGATGTAACATCACTTACACTAATTGTTTTCTGTCACATTTTGATTTTACAGATTTGGCCTCTGAGTGATTTTGGATTTCTACGTGATAGCCCTAATGGCCACAGATTTTCTGATGATTAATAAGTATTTAGTCTTTTCATTCTTGTCTTCTGTTCAAGTGAATTTATTATTGCCACTCAAACCATGTATTTACTAATAAACTATTTGCTTCTCAGTTTGTGATTTTTAATTGTTAAATGTAAAGAATAAATAACACACAATTTTACACTATATTAATTCAAAATGTATGAGTAAAAGTAATCCAAAACAAATTGTCTAAATTTTATGATAGATATAAAAATATTTTTACGGGGAAATCTGGATGACCACCTCACTTTTAAATTTTTAGTTTTGTAGGTATAATGAAAAGTAATCTCATGGATATGCTTTATACTTTAGCTACATTCACAAGTCAGAGTAGCAGACTAGTCTTCCAAGTCCAAAGCAACAATAAATAAAAAGAGTTCAACCTAATAAGCAGCAGCTAAGCCACAAGCTTGGCTCACCGTTTGAAATTAAGGTTTCAGTGAACCCATAAAGGATTCCTTTCTAAGTCCATTTTAAATGTGTTCTCACTTATACATAGAATATTAAATGTATAGAAAAATAAAATCTTTAGTTTCCTGTCATCAATGATACATTATAAAAATCTATTTCATCACACTAGCAAAGCAGTGTCCCGCATTCCCAAACCTAAGCACTAATACTGTATCTTAGTACACTGAAGTAAGGAAAGTAATGCGCCTGTTTCAAACCTAAAGCTACCATTCCCGAAACTGTGTTCGAAGCTGAAGACGGCAGTGACAGGCAGCTCACCCCCTTTAATGTAGCTGCAGGGAGGACGTGGGACTGCAGTGCCAGAGCTGCAGTCAGGTCTTCTGGCTCCAAGGCTGCCCTCCTCTTTCCAGTTGCCACTCTGCCTTCTTTATTCACTTTCAAATAACCTCATGAATGTTCATATTCAGGCTTCATTATGGGAGAAATAGGCTCACATGTTATTCTCAAAGATTCTCATTTAATTCTAATGACCTGAGATTTTTAAGACAGTTGTACAATAGGCATAGAACTGACAGCTGGAAATGTCGTGTTACCTCGAAACGTAGTAACTATAAAGGAATATGATGATATTGTGACCCATTAAAAGAGGAGACACGCTTATTTAAAGAAACCAGTAAGTTCTCAAGTAGGAATTTGCTAAATATAATTTATAATTCAAAACCCTTTTCTACTGATTTTCTACTGATCTGGGGTAGACTTTGTGTATTATCTTTGCAAATAATCGAGATGACCAAAATAAGGATCTTTTTCTTGGCCACCTTCATACAGTTAACAAAGTTGGAATGGACTGTCTTCAGCACTCCTGAATATACGTTAAAGGATTCCACTTAGTGCAGCAGTTCTATAATTAATGAACAAGTATCACAAGAAATCAGGGTAACTTCTTCTACTTCATCCTTGGAAACACTGTATCTTCCACCACAACGGCAACTCAGAGAAAAAGAGTGATCATCTGCGAAGGAAACAAAAAAAAATGCTTCAAATGCTTACATGCACTGACAACATCACAGACACACACACACAAATGCAATTTACTCCACAGAAATTGCAAAGCAAAAGAAAGCTCAGTATATATAAAATATATTAAATGAGAACTTGAAAAAATATAGGGGCAGTGTTTATAAAAATTATCACAGAATCTTTATCTGTAGAGGAGATGGACTAAGCTGTTAAGTCCAGAGATCTTGGGGTGACAGCAGATGCTCAGAAGCGACCCAGGAAATTTACTTGAAGTCTTTTGTTAAGATTTACATAAACTTTACATTCTTAACAATGTGTCTGTAAAATATTTACAGTAAAATATGTCTGTAAAGGAAAAAAACAACCCTGTCTTAAAAGAGCATGCATTTGCCTGGAGTATTTCCTTTTAAAGAAAACTCTGCTAGAACTTAACTGTTTCTCAAATTCAACATCTGAATATATCTGGTGTGGTAGCATACTATTTTAAGAATCCTGACTCAAATAAGAGGTCTGTCCAGAAAAAGTCCAGCCATTGTTAATCTAACAAGAATGGTTTGTGCTACATCGATGTAACCTGGCAGCCAAGAACAGTGGACTGGAATGCGCATGCGTGAATGATGATGACTTCGCTGTAGTCAGTGGGGGCATTTGTAGTCAGTGGGGGCATTAGGCACTGCTGAGTGAGCATGTGTACTGTGTGGCCGTCACATTCAAAGTGAATAAAGCGATGAATTTGCGTCAAAATTTTGTGTTAAGCTTGAACAGTCCTCTGTGGAAACTATTCAGATGATTCAGAAGGCCGCAGCTCTGGGCAAATGGTGATTGGCAGCTTCATCATGACAATGCACCTGCTCACACATCACATCTCATGCAGAGTGTTTTGGCGAAACATCAAATCACCCAGGCGACTCGGCCCTCCCACAGCCCAGATTTGGTGCCTTGCGACTTCTGGTTTTTCCCAAAAACTAAAATCACCTTTGAAAGGGAAGAGATTTCAGACCATCAGTGAGATTCAGGAAAATACAACGTGGCAGCTGATAGCCATTGGGAGAACTGTGTGAGGTCCCAAGGTGCCTCCTTTAAAGGGGACTGAGGCATCATTGTCCTGTGTATACTGTTTCTTGTATCTTATACCTTTTCCAATAAATTTCTCTAGTTTCCATATCACATGGCTGGATACCTTCTGGACAGACCACACACACACACACAGGTGTGTTTTTCTGCGAGTGTACCTGTATGGTTGTTAACCAAATGATTTGAGAACCAAAGGGCAATCACTGAAGTATGATGCCCAAAAGAGGCACTATGGTGTAACACTGAGTCTACTAATGTGAAAACTTTATTAAATCTGTCATTTTCCTGGGAAGCTGAAATGCTTCTGTCCTTAAACTGAAAGAATTCCTGATTTACTGGTCATTCAATTTTACTGTCACTGAGAAGTGACTATCAAAGAAAAATAATTACTGATCACATTATTTTACTAGTGTCATAATGTATTACATAGATAAATGAACTAAAGTCTCAAGATATGATTTCTTAAAATCAGACATCTTCATTTAATTCTCGTTTCATTTTTTTAACACTTAGATCTCAACATAGGCCACTAAAAGAAAAGAGAAAAAAGGATAGAAAAGAAACAAATTTAACAGCCTTGTTTTTGTTCTCTAATCAAGTCTGGCCTTGGAAAAATGCAATTAAATGAACCAACTTGATGTGTTTCTTTCATTACATGTATTCATTCATCCTACCATGCTTTTTATTTTTTACCACATGCCTTTTTTTCTCCACAAGGAAAGAAATTTCATTTTGAATTTAAAAATGATAACACCTTCCCTGTCTGAGCCAATATACATGTTACAGTAGGGCATACTTTCATAGTGAATTGTTTTATTATTAAATTGTTTAAAAATGCACATATTGTAGCCATTGGTTTTCTTAAGCTAAATCTCCATGTTTTCGTACCACCTCAGTGAACACTGAGAAGTAATTTGAGGTGACATGCGCTCAATAAATGAGGCAGAGGCTGCCGTGGGCTACTGTGGAGTTTCGTCATAGATGATTCCAAATGTCAATGCTCACTAAAAACTCACATGTGTAGTTAAATTTCTTCTTATATTATACTTCTATCACTAAATAAAGTGGTATCTTCATAGAAATCATCATTTCAAATATAATGAATGAAGACAAAATGGCCAAGTTGTATATGAGATTAGCTGTGAGGAGAAAGGTTAAAACTTCGGTCTCTGAGGAGTTCTTCAGGTATGCCGTGTAAGGATAATAAAATGTACCATTTAACTGTCCTGGATCAGGAAGCTGAAAACTTCACTGTGTGTATACCATGTAGTGTTTCATTCACCTGTGCGTGCTAAATCTTCACGTCCCAAGGCTATTCTGAAAGTGACTGTGAAGAAACCTTCAAACAATGTTTTACTTGCCCAATTGATCTGCTTTTTATTTAACTTCACCTGCCAAGAATGCTCTTTTCAATTGCAAAAAACAACTCAAATTTGCAAATCCAATTGTAAAACTCATGTGACTAGTCTTTAGATATTCCTGCAAAAATAATGGCTTCATGTAACTGTTGCTCAGTATTTTCTCTCACAAGGATGAGAACTATTCAAACCCTAAATTTAAATAAGCATCTAGGGACATCCTGTAGTTTTAAGATTAACTGAAGAGGCTTATAACTGATTCAGTGGCTGTGGCTGGGATTCCTCTGTGTCGTCTTCACTGACAAGTTTACTTTAGGAAGTCTCAAGGACAGAAACACGTTTTGATAACGCTTGATTTCATGTTGTGTACTTCCTTCAATATCTTAGCATTTTCACTTGTATCAAAAAGTGTGTACGCCTGTTGACTGAACAGATTCTTGAACCACCAATCCATATTCTTAACTTAAAAAAAAAATCTTATTTTTTTAAAATGTTACTGAAGGAAAAAATTAGAAAACGCAGTTTTCACTATTCTCACATTGTCAGAACAGTAAACAAAATATACTAGTCACATCAACTACAGCAAGAACTAATTTGTCTCATAAGAGATTAAACACACACACATACTGATTGATAAGGTAGCAATATGGTATTTTCAGAAAGTTTGTTTAGTTGGGCAGGTGTCCTGATAAATGACAAATTCTATTCTGTCCCCCTCATGATCCACCAGTGAAAGCCTATTCCACTAGTGTATTCTGTTTTCACAGCAACAGCTCTTCCAGATTTTGCTCAAGAAATTATGTCAGCCCCTGGGAGGCCCAGTTACACAAAACCTTGTTCTTCATTCATTTACTGCAAATAACAATCTCTACTCCAGGATTTCGTTTGGCACTTTTGGAACAGAGTGGTCCATAGGCAGAAACATGATCCTCTGACAGAGTCGATATACCCAAGTTTTTAAGAGCACTAAGTTAAGAATTTGCCACTAAAGTATTTCATGGAACTTGGTTTTAGGAAGGATGGGCTGCTTATCTTCTGCCTATTCACACTCATTAGTTAATTTTTATAAAGCCCAAGGGAATTTGTATCCCAGGCCACGTAAGATTTCTTCATTTGACCAGAGACACACAGAAGTGTGGTATTCACAGCTTCTTCTCAGAAAAAGGAACTTAATGTCTCGCTGGACCAACTCACAGAACTACCAAGAGTGGAGAAATTAGATTTAGATATTCAAATTCTAGTAGTAGGAAAGTGAAAAAAAAAAAATGACTTCATGGTGAGTAAAAAGGAGTGACATTTTATTGTCCATATAAGACACAATCAAAAAGTGAGTAGAAAATCAAGCTCCAAGTAGAAGAGAGTAACACTGAAATGCCTGCCCTAACAGTTTATGATTCCATGTAAAAAAAATTCTAATGGAAATTCATCTCTAACGTCAACATAGGGAGGACAGAAAAAATTATGCTCCTTAACTTTATTTTCCCTATTACAAAGATGGTGACTAAAAAAACCAAAGTAGTTTACAAGAAGAAAACCTTATGAAACCTATGTAACATCTAAATAGAATAGCAAAATAATAGAAATGGGTTATATAGGGGGACATCAATAATTGAAATTTAGAAAACAAAAATATTCCAGACAAAAACACCCACATATAGCAAAAGCCAAGATATTATCTCTAAGATTCCAAATATCCTAAGAATTTTTTCCCATACAGAAAATCCCTAATATTTTCCTGTGTGGTAATCAAGAGAGAAAAGAATTCCAACCTTTGTTCCAAGACATTTCTTCAAGATACACTTGAGCATCTACTGGTCCCATATTTCTTAGATCATCTTCTGTAAAATATAAAATGAGACACTTAATTTTGATACTTTAGTCATAACCAGGAAGAATGCTGAAAAGGCAGCTCCAGCCCGGTCAGGATAATTCTAATTTACTTACCATTTTATAACTTAGCTTACTACTTTTTTTTTCTTTAATTCTCACCCAAGGATATTTTTCCATTGCTTTTAGAGAGAGGAAGGGAGAGACAAACCGGTGTGTGAGAGAGACATCAGCTGGTTGCTTCCCAGATGTGCCCAGACTGGGATCCAACCCACAACCTAGGCATGTGCCCTGACCAGAATTGAACCTACAACCTTTTGGTTATGGGATGATGCTCCAGCCAGCTGAGCCACACTGGCCAGGGCTTAGCTTACTACTTTTACAGCAGTTAAGGCTACCTGACTTCAGCTGACTAAAAGTTCCAGAGCTTACCACTTAAAAAACTTTAGCAGTCAAAATCTCATCATTTTTCATAAATATGCAACATGCAAAACCATAAAGTTGATTTTGATTAATTCCTTGTGATCAATTAGTGACCTCTATTTTATGAGACAGGAAAATTTCCTTTTTGTCAGAGAAACCGTTATCTGTAACTAAGGCAGGCAGCACAGAGCTGAGTAAAAATAACTATTTTAATCTTAATTCTAATATTTTAGTAGCTTTTGAACCTGACATATATCAAGTTATTTCTAACTCACCTACTTCAGAAATTCAGTTGCTGCGGACTGAATTGTGACCACCCCCTCACACCCACCCTGCCAAATTCACATGCAGAAGCCCTAACCCCCAATGTGACTGTATTTAAAAATAAGGGTTTTAGGATGTAATTAGCATTAAAGGCGGTTGCCAGAGTGGGGTTCCAACCTGACAGACCTGGGGGTCTTATAAGGAAGAGGGAGGTCTCCATGTGTGTGCACAGAAGGCACCACAGGAGGACACAGCTAGAAAGGGGCCATCTGCAAGCCAGGGGGAGACCTCAACAGGAACCATATTGACTGGCACCTTCATTCTGGACTTCCGAGCCTCTAGGCAGGTGAGACATTTCTGTTGTTGAAGACACCTAGTCCACGGAATTTAGTTATGGCACAGGGAACAGACTAATACAAGGATGTTTTACCAATAAAATCAGATCTGGCTAAAAGAGCTTTAAAGAATAAAGCTCTATCCAAATATAAGGGGCTATTAATCATCTAATTTTTATTTGCTTAAAAGTAATTAATAGGTATCTTAAAAGAAGAATCACTTTAAAATATTTCGATAACCATACAACAAAACTATATTGTGTTGATGTTCCATTGCCATTTCCTGGGCCAGTTTTCGCTATAGAAGGTCCAAAGAAGCCTGGAATTCCAACTAAATTTAGTAAGAGCATGGCCCAGGTAGCATAAGCATGCACTCTTGCTTACAGTTAAGTGTATTTTGGGACAAAGAAAGCAACTAGAGATGAGAAGCACTTGCCTTTGTTTTTAGAGGCATGTGACATAGTTCCTGTATGCTGGTATCACTCTTTTAAGCATAAGTGCTTAAAAGAGACTAAGTGCTTGAAAGAGACTACTAAAATCAACTCCTACTCCAGTGAAATTTTCTTTAGTTGTCTTGCTAGTCTCTTGTTCACTTGCCGAGAATGTTCACTTGCTTCCCTTTGTTCTGTTGTGTGAATGCCAGCAATTTAATTATATTTAATAACTGCCTGTTCTTTATTGGTGAGTTATACAAATTTAAAATAGATAAAAAGATTATACAATATTGTGAAATCACTGTGGTTTTCTATTACGTGTATCCAATATTGTATCACTTCATATTTACTGGGTACCAAAAGTCTATTAAACTGTCCCTAAAATCCAAAGATACACACTTTGCCTAGTGGTCAGGGGTACTTCCTCCATTTCTGCGTGCTCACTGAATAGGTGATGCACAGTGTATCAATATATAGAGTAATTTCTGAACAAACGAAACAATTTCCACATTCTAGATAAAGTAGACTTGGCTATATGTTACTCAGTCTTTCTTTCTTCCTTCTGGAAATGAGAGAAAAAGAGAGGGAGAGAAACATTGTTAGGTTGCCTCTCATATGTGCCCCGACTAGGGGGCCACACCTGCAACCCAGGCATGTGCCCTGACTGGGAATCGAACTGGCAACACTTCGCTTTGTGGAGCAATGCCCACCCAACTGGGCCTCATTGGCCAGGGCCATATTCCCATTTTTTTTTTTTTTTTAAGTTCTACTAAAAGTCTCATGGATGGAGGGGAAAAATCACGTTTCAATTTCTTACTCAGAAGGACCAGGATATTTTGCTTGAATGGGGAAATAGTTTCAGATTTGAAGAATAGGCGTAATTAGCACTTAACAGATCCTGGCAAGGGGAAAAACAGGTACAAGTGATTTACAATCAAGTTGCCTATATACCTTAGAGATAAGAAGTGTTTCTGAAATCACTTAAAGCTTCTTTATCTATCTACTGATGGTCACTTGGGCTCCTTCCGAATCTTAGTTATTGTAAATAGCACTGCAATGAACACAGGGGTGCATATATTCCCAGAAGTGGAATCACTGGGTCATAGGCAGTTCCATTTTTAATGTTTTGAGGAAACTCCATACTGCTTTCCACAGTGGCTGCACTGCTCTGCATTCCCATAAACAACACAAAACAGTTCCCCTTTCTCCACATCCTCGCCAGCACTTGTTGATTTACTGATGATGGCCATTTTCACAGGTATGAGGTGATACTCACTGTGATGTTAATTTGCATTTCCCTGATGATTGGTGATATTGAGCACCTTTTCATATGTCTATTGGCCATCTGTAGTGGCTTTTCAGGTCCTTTGCTGATTTTTAATTGGGTTATTTTTTGGTGTTGAGTTGTATAACTTCTTTATAAATTTTGAATATTAACCCCTTATCAGATGTATCATTGGTAAATACGTTCTTTCATTCAGTGGGCTGTCTTTTCATTTTGTTGATAGTTTCCTTTGTTGTGCAAAAACTTTTTAATGAAGTCCCATTCATCTATTTTTTTCTTTTGTTTCCCTTGCCTGAAGAGATATTGCTACAATAAATGTCCAAGGTTTTACTGCCTATGTTTTCTTCTAGGATTTTTTGTCTTTAATCCATTTTGAGTTTACTCTTGTGTATGGTGTAAGAAGGTGGTTCTAGTTTCATTTTCTTGTATGTATCTTTTCAAAGTTCCCAAAATCATTTATTGAATAGACTATCTTTAACCTATTGTATGTTCTTGCCTCCTCAGTCAAACTTAACTGACTATAAAGGTGTGGATTTATTTCTGGGCTATCAATTCTGTTCCACTAATCTTTATGTCTGTTTTCATGCCAGTACCATGCTGTTTTGATTACTATGGCCTTGTAGTATAGTTTCATACCTTTGTGGTGGGGCAGGGTCTCAGGGAGTTGTCAGAATGAGGCCAGCAGAGTTTATCAGGCCCAAAGAGACCAAGATTTGGCTGTGTGAAGGGAGAGCTCTGCATCGGTTGGGCGAGCAAGGGGAAAATGGCCACTGTCCTAGAGCCACACTATGCAGTCTGTCCCAGATTGTGCCAGGAGCCCGATCTCAGACGGGTTGGGCCACTGGGAGTTGAGAGGATGGGGTGAGTGGTTCTCCCGTGGTGGAGGGGAGGGATGCCAGTCAGGCTTGGGGGAAGGTGGAATGAGTGGCCCCCTTGCCAGAACCACAAAACTCAGTCTGTCCCAGGGTCTACCCAGAACTGGCAGGGCAGAGCCACCAGGAGTTGGGACGGTGTGGCCACCGGGAGCATGGAGAATGGGGCTAGCAGATTCCTGTAAGGGGGAGGCACCAGTCAGGTTCGTGGTAGAGTAGGAGGAATGGTCCCTGACCCAGAGCCACACCACTCAGTTACTGACACCCTCTGAGTCTGCCCAGACCTCTGCACCTGGGTCCACACAGGTGCCTCCTCAGCTGGGAGCAAGCTCCTCAGGGTGGGGCAACTGGGAGTCTAGAGGTGGGCTATTGCTTTCCCCTAGGCTGTTGCCATATGGGAGGAGTGCTCCACCCAAGAAAGAAAGGCCCTTTAAGAGGGTGCCTTTGTCTCTAGCCCTCTCTTCCTGATGGACAGGATCCCTGCTAATTTTCATAGCCAGATGTTATATGGGCACCTCTTCCCAGCTCTGTTGCTCTGGGCTGGGGAACATGGCTTGGGGCTGAGGCCCTGCTTTCTTAAGGGGAGCTTTTGCACTGAGCTAACCCTCTGGAATTTCAGCGACCACCAGTGGGACCCAGGCCAGCCCTTTTCGTGTCTCCCTCCTTCCTACCAGGCTCAATGTAGCTTCTTCTGCAAATGCTTGGTTATACGGCTTCTCTTCAGACAGTCTTCAGTTGGCTTTTCATGTTAATTTCTCTGTATTTTAGCTGTAATTTTAATTTGGCCCTGCAAGGAACTGAATGCCCACTCCACCTAGTCCACAGACATCTTGGATCCCCCTGTTTTTGTTTTGTAAGTTTCCTTTTAAAGATTTTATTTATTTAAGGGAGGGAAAAAAGAGAGTGAAAGACACATTAATGTGCGAGAGAAACATGGCTCTTGTACACCCCAACCTGGGGACCTTGGCCCACAACCCAGGCGTGTGCCCTGACTGGGAATTAAACCAGTGATCCTTTGGTTCACAGGACAATGCACAATCCACTGAACCTCACTGGTCAGGGCTGTTATTTCTTTTTAAACAATTATCTTTGCTTTTCCACCACTGTAGTTATAATTAGAGAATTTAATTCATCCCTAGCCCTTAAAGTAACTTACAGGAACCCTGTAATTAGTCTTGATAATTGTCTGTCAAGGCATTTGCAAAAAAGATAAATTACTTTTCTTGAGTATTACATATAAACTTTTTTGCTCGTTGCAATGAAAGATTTTATTGGGTTGGCCAAAATGTCTATATGTATTTTCTGTAAAATAAAAGACATTTTTCATTTTCACCAATAATTTTATTGATTTGGATATTTTGAGTATGTTGGCTATCTCCCACTATTGGCTTGTAGTGG